AGCAGAGAAAACACCCAGTGGGAAACCCTTGAGGTAGGAGTGTGGCTGGTTTGCTCTGGGCTCACACGGAGGCCATGATGGTTGGTAAGACGAGTGAATGGGAGGGTGATGAGAGGTGGAATGATGAAGAGATGTTCCTGGTATAGGGTGTGCAGAAAGGGTTGCTTCATGCTCTCTGTGGTGGTCAGGAAGAGTTTATAAGTAATACACTTGAATAGGCACTTGTGTTCACCAGACAATGTTCCAAAGAGTCCTTGAGTTTGATGGACGGGAACGTGAGAAAGCAGGGGGCGCAGAAAGCATGTTGATCGTGGTTCTTAGCAGTGAAGCAGAGTGTCCTGGGGGCTGGAGTGTGTGGTCCCTGAGGGGCGCAGGTAGTGGGAGTTGGGAGGAAGAGGAGAGAAGGTGTTTGGGAGGGAAGGCAGATGCCAGGTCATCGAAGAGTTTGTGTTGGGCTATGGAGTTTTGCTTCATGGCTGAGGAAATTTTAAAGGGAGCAGGGCCTGGAATGTCCCCTTTGCCAGCTGTGAGGAGGCTGGATGGAAGGTGAGCAAGGCTGCAGTCACGGATGCAGCGATGAGGCGGAGAGGATGCCTCAAGTAGAGGCAGTGGCATCACGTAGAGAGGGACAGGAGGGATCACACATCAGAGGTTTAAAAGATAGACTCAGCTGAGTGAGTGGATCTGGGGACACAGAGTGTGTGGAGGGGAAGGGGGCTGCGGAAACTCCCAGGGTTTTGCCTTGGCTGTTTGTTGTTAGTGGTAGGGATATTGATAATTATGTGTGTCAACTGAAGAAACATATACAACCTAAGAGCCGTGAGCTGAGTTTTTTTCAGGATCTTACTGAGGGCTCTATACTCTGGGAAACAGCCTCTCAGTAGCTCTGAAAAACTGACCCAAAGCGGTAGGCAGAGCAGTCAGTATATATAGAATTTTGGCTAGGGAGTAGGTACAGTCAAGCATGCATCTCAGTACAAATTTATTGCTAGTGACGAGGATCAGAGACCTCAGTTAATGATTTTAATGCTTTGCTATGTATGGGAAGATGCAAGAATCTAGGCTCAGTAAATTTTTTCCCCACTGAGATATTTGTAACTATCTAGGGGGCCTGTTTTTCCAAAACACAGATATACCTTATCCTGTTTTTCATCCTGAATTCCTTTTGGCGTGTACTGTCAGTGAGGGACTGCAGCGGCTAATGACTTGATCCTTGTAGAACTGGATGGTGGGCAGCATTCTTTGTGTTACATGTGTTACTTATGTGTTAGTTACCTGTTTCCATAATAAAGCTGTGTAACAAAGAGCCACAAAAATCACAGTGGCATACAACAATAACCATTTATTTACTTCAGGCGTTAAGGGAGTACAGCTGATTTGGACAGTAGTTGACTGACCTCACCTGGGCTGACTCATAGATCTTTAGTCACACTGGCGAAATATAATTGAAAACAAAACCTCCCAAACCAAAATCCTCTTGACAAAGTTAGTAGAGAAAGAAAACAGTTATATTATTAAAAGGGCATTAAAGCAGAATGTGATACACGTGACAGGCAATCTACCAAGA